AAATACATTTTTTTCTCTTCTTTCAACTGCACATTTTTTAATAAAATAATATTACATACAAATTCAAAACTTTTCTTTTTTTATTACCACACATTTTTCATCAAATCACTTTTTTAAAATGCATTTTTTGCAATAAAAAATGAGCATCAAACGGAGCTCTTAATATTTTATTGCTGACAACAGTCGACAATCCACGGCCGCCCGTGCTGACTCAAAATCCTGGGTCCGTCACTGTCTATTAAATATATATAAATCATGTTGTTGCTATACTTTAGTGTTGTAGTCTTTCATCGTTCGAATATTTTATACGTGGAGACTTTACCATCAAAATATATAATTCAAGTATTCTAGCCATTCTTGAATTTTGTTATTTTACTTGGTCTGTTTTTCTTCACATGTGGGTTGATAATCTTGGACTATTCTAATATTGGCACTATCTCGATGTTTACAACTTTCACGACACGGTATCTCATTTTTCAAAATGAGTTGTGCTGTGTACGGGGAAATCCATACATATAGTTTGGGCACGGTCTAAAAAAATGCACCGTTGGTAATCTATGCAGCGTTGCCAACATTGCACCCGGCACTTGTACAAGGTGAATAGCAAAATCTTTTCAAAATTCTTTCTTATTCTATGTTTAGTAAAGATTAAAATCAGATTTTTAGTAGACTTTAATAATAGTTGATGAAATGTGTGGTTGAAAAGCCGTGGATTCCACAAAATATGTGACTGAAATTAATTGTTAAATTTGATTTAAATTAAAATTGAGATGTGGCAATCAAACAGGGGTTGATATTACTTAAGATGCCAGTATTACACATTCTTGCCACTATTCTAACACGTCTCTTGTGAAACAGCCAGAGACCAAGGGCGACAATGACGACGAATATAAAAACAAAAATAATAAAAAGCCAAATTTGACCACAGTATTTACTAAGACTGCAAAATTCCACTCTTTTATGCATGTAGGTTACAACAAAGTATTTCTCCGAAGCTCACAAAAATGAAACTTGATATATCTGTAGTCCATATTTGGTACACATTCTTTAAAAATATATTTTTTCAAAATTCATTTTCAACAACATATTTTTCAATAATATAATATTTTTCATCACGTCAATAACTTTTTCATACTTTTTAACCACATATTTCACATTGTATCACTATTTAAAATATATTATTTCCTCAATAATAATATCTATCAAAGATAACCATAAACTCAAATTCAGTACTATAAAATTTAGCATAAACGCAATTTTTATCTTAGCCTCACTCTTCCTTTTTAGCCCTAGTTTGGGATGGATTCTTTAGAGCTTATTTTTCTCTAGCTCAATTCAACCCCATATTTTTCCAATAAAAATAATTATTTGGAAACAGTTTCTGCCAAAATTCAACAGTTGTTAATATAATTATTCTCTTCAACAGCCTATGGCCCTATGCTCAAATTCATCAGAGGTTGCAAAAGGCCATTGGGAGTCTGATGATAGTGACAGATCATATTTGGTGGGCTGATGAGCCACATTTTTCAAGATAGTATGGCGCTCAGGGAGAAGAGAGGCATTATAAATATCAGAACGTAAGAAGATTATCATGCAAGTTTTCTCCGTTTGAGAAAAGAAAATGAGTTCTTTTTTGCATTTCTTAGTACCTTTTGTTTCCTTCTTTTTGTTCACCATTTTGGTCTTCAAATGGTACTTTAATCCTGCTTCAACAGCTGGGAAAAGGATACCATCTCCACCAAAGCTTCCCGTGATCGGAAATCTTCATCAACTCGGCTTATACCCCCATCGTGCGCTTCAAGCACTATCCAAACGCTATGGTCCAATCATGATGCTTCATCTCGGGAGCGTGCCAGCAGTTATAGTCTCATCAGCTGAAGGAGCTCGGGAGATCATGAAAACTCACGACCTGGTTTTCTCAAACAGACCAAAAGTAAGCATTCCTGATAAAATTGTATATGGCTCTAAGGACATAGCTTTTGCGCCTTACGGTGAACACTGGAGGCAGGTGAGAAGTATATGTGTGCTTCATCTTTTGAGTTACAAAAGAGTTCATTCTTTTCGTTATATAAGAGACGAAGAAACGGATCTTATGATCCAGAAAATTAGGCAGTCATCCACTTCTTCCACATCCGTGACAAACTTGAGCAATTTATTGGTGTCAGTTACTAATGATAATATATGTAGAGTGGCACTGGGGAGGAAATATAGTGATGGTGAAGCAGAAGGAAGCAACAAATTTGAGTTAATGTTGAAGGAAATAATGGAGCTAGCTGGTACTTTTAATGTAGGCGATTACATCCCATGGCTTAAATGGATGAATATCGTGAATGGTTTGGATGCCAGAGCTGATAGACTGGCTAAATCATTTGATGAATTTTTGTCAAGTATAGTTGAAGAACATAGAAGTAGAAGAAAGCAAGAAAACGGCAGCAAAGAAACGGATCTTGTGGATTTATTGCTCGAAATTCAAAGCGAAAAAAAATCTAGTTTCACTTTGGATGATGAGACCATGAAAAGTGTCATTTTTGTAAGTATCTCTCCTAGTCTTCCTCTTTTGTGTTTCCACATGCATGCCTTAGCTCGTTGAACATTAAATATAAAAAAATATTTCCCATCTTGAAAATTTTAAGCTCATAAATGAGGTGCTGAAAAAATATTTTTAAAAGAAAATATCAAAATTCACCTTCAATTTATTTTTTATGACAGGATATGTTTGCTGCTGGGACTGATACAACATATACTTCTCTGGAGTGGACTGTGACGGAGGTTTTAAGACATCCAAAGATCATGAAGAAATTGCAAAACGAGGTGAGACAAGTAGCCGGAGACAGATCAGAGATAACTGAAGATGATTTAGAGAAAATGCCCTATTTAAAGGCAGTTCTGAAAGAAAGCCTAAGATTACACCCTTCGATTCCATTGCTTGTTCCGCGAGAATCGACACAGGACACTAAAGTAATGGGATACAGCATTCCTGTTGGTACACAAGTGATGGTCAATGCTTGGGCAATTGCAAGAGACCCAATGGAGTGGGAAAATCCTGATGAATTCAATCCAGAAAGGTTCTTGAATAATACAGAAGTGGACTTTAGAGGGTTCAATTTTGAGTACATTCCATTTGGTGCTGGTCGAAGAGGTTGCCCTGGTATTACATTTGCCATGGCTGTCAATGAGTTTGCGTTGGCAAAATTGATGCTTAATTTTGACTTCGCATTGCCAATTGGAGCAAAAGAATGGGACCTGGATGAAGCCGTTGGAAGCACTGTCCATAAAAAGAACCCTCTACTTGTCGTTGCCACTCCTCGTTCTTCCTAGTGCTTGTCAAGCTTGTCATCACTCCATCAACTCTCTTAATTATCCCTCATCCTCTCCGCAATAAAAAAGTTAAATGTTTTCCATAAAATGTCAAACTTACTTGTACTTGTGATTCTGTATCATTATGTTTGATTAAAATTATATGTATCTCTATTTCGTTCTTATGTAATAGAAAAATAGTATATTAATAGCATGTGATGAAAAGCACACCAATAACCCTCAAATGAAGAAATAACTCCTACAACCATGCAAGGTAGTAGAGAAGAAAAGAGTTAACTTTTCTTGTTCAAATTTTGCACATGCCCTCTCCTAAGTCCTATTTTCTTCCTTTTTTTAAATACTCCACCTCCGCGGTGGTTTGAATTAAGAAAAATAAAAATGTCAACAGAGTTAGAGAACCCTTCGGTACACAGTAGAAAATGAGGTAACAATCGTTAGTTTGATGTTCTGAATGAAACATGAGTATATTTGCTTGGTGAACGACACTAATATAAAGCTTATTCCCAATACTAAATACTGTTTGAATACCAAAATGTAATTAGCTTATCATTTATGTAATGTCGTTTATAAGATTGTATTAATAATATTGGCTACGAGGAAGAAGTGTGTGCTCTCAGGTACAGGGCGGACTCAGGAAGAATGTTCATTGGGGGCGAAACCAAAAAATCTGAATAAAAAAAACTAAAAAAAATCTGAAAATCTCGGGAAATCTGAAAATTGAGTGGTGGCGGCGGCCCCCACTTGGCCTCACGTAGAGTGCATTTTTGCCGGGGACGTTTGATAATAGGGACGTATTCGGTAGAGATTAAAATCGAATTAAAATTGAAAAATTAATCGTTATTATTGATTTTTATTAGACGAGTGAGATTCAATAACGACTATATTTTCAATTTTAATTGAATTTTAAGCCTAACCAAACATGCCCTAGATAACATTATTTTTTAGTTTGAAATTATGAAATCTATCTAACAACAACCAACCAAAGGCTTGGAAACCAGGCAATGAAATTAGATATTATCAAAGCCTACAGCAGACGCCAGACTAGAATGTGATTTTGGACTGATGTCTGATACTTGCTGGTGTTTTGGTCAAAAAGATTTGATAGATTTGGGCAGATGATGACAATTCCATTTACGAGATGTTTATCTTATCTTCAATTTGTCTGCGTTCTTGGTTTTGTTTCTTGTGGAAATTACAGAAAAGGACCACTTTCTTATGGTCCTCTGTAAAAATGTCCAAAATTTATTCAATGTTAATTTTACAATATTTTTTTTTAAAAAATACTATTGTTAAAAATTTATAATTCCACATTAAAGACAAATGTGAATACAATTAAAAATGTTGTTGGCTAAAAAAATTTTGACACATAAACTTCCTTACTTATTTCAAAAGTACATATGTCAAATCACAATAAATACTATATTTCTCATTGACACGTATTAAATACCGAGAACTGCATTTAAAATGTCAAGAACTGCATTTAAAATGTCAAGAACTGAATAGTAGAGAACTCTCATGTTCGGAATGAAATTTCATTATAGACAAATGAAGTATTAAGATAAATAGAGTTCAAATATCGATAATAACTTTTAAAATATCGAGAACGTCATTTTAATGTGGCTTATCATTGTAGATACTTTTTCTTTTCGGAATTCGTGACAAATTGAAAAAAAAAAATGCTTCATTTTTTATTAAGAGTATAATAGATAATTTAGTACTAAATTTGGCTATTTTTGCAATAATTATCAAATTAAACATTTTTTAATTCACAAGCAGCTCCTACTTTCTTCAACAAATGTTGAAGAAAGAAGTCAATTGACTCTTTACAGTTTGTCTACACCTGTATTATTCTCTGAATCCTTGGGAAATTTTTCTCTATATTGATTATGCTTTAATTTTGACTGATCTTTCTGCTCTCCTTTTCTAACACAATTTTCCTACGTTAAACTAACATTTTCAAATGTTAATGCTGGCAACAATATCATTGCTTTACACATAACATCAATATTGTTATAATCATTTGCTTCGGGCACAAATTCTGTATCATTAAAGTTATTTTGAAAAAGATGTTTAATGAATACTAAAGTTTTAGTTACACATAAAGTCTAATAGAATATAAAATGTCTGAAGGCATTTAAGGAGAATAACTATTAGTGGATGAATTTAGAGTGGTATATTATATTTGATTTTATTCTTATCTATTTACGCCCCTATTTGGTCGTTATTTTAATTTAAATCAAAATCAACAATAAATTTTAATCACATATTTGATAAGACCCATAACTTTTCAACAACACATTTCATCAACTTTTATTAAAATTTGTTAAAAATCTAATTTTAGTCCTCACCAAACAGGACCCAAGTAAATTTACATAAGGTTAAAAATCAAATATAGAATTATTTATTTATCTTTTTTTTTTTTAAATTTGATAGATTTATAAGAACAGTGGAAGAAAATCATAGCTCCCTTGTTCAAGGTGCATTTTTTAAGAAGTAATTGGCATTTTAGAAATAGGCATGTTTAACTTTGGCCAATCTTGATTTATAGGCAAAATTTGGTCGTGGACTTGAAATGTAGTCACATTTGAAAGATTTTACAAAAGTAATCTTTTTTATGTTAAAAAATACAAAAATACCATTTTTAGTAAAAAATTGCCAAATTCTATGTATGATTAAGATTATGCCCCCGTTTGGTATAGACTAAATTTTAGTCTAAATTAAAATTAATAATTTATTTTAATCACATATTTTATGAGATAATTATAAACGAATGGGATCTACGACAACTTTTCACCCACATATATAATAAACTTTTAATAAAATTGTCTAAAAATATGATTTTAATCCCTACCAAATAGGGGCTGCATAGTAGAAATAGTTGGTGCACGAATATTCTCCAGGTAAACAATAACTTCCAAGAGATGCTTTGCAAACGATACATCCTATTAACCAATTGTGTAACTCCCTACATCCTATTTATATAGGCTGACTTGCCTTATTATTATTAGTTTTTATCCCAATTATGTAGTCATATTTTTTTATTGATAATGTTTTGTTTTGTTCTTTTACTAATATATTCTTATTTAATTTGTCTAGTTATAATCAGTTTTTTTCACTTAATCTTGAAGATTAATGCTATTTATCATAATGATGATGTAATATTGGTGATGTTACAACTATTACATGGACGAATTCTTGGTAAAATACTTAGTCAAATTTTCGCATATGATGGTACTAAAGTTTCACTCAGTCAGCCCACAAATTTACACAATGAATACACAGAAAGTAAATGCAGCGATGTAAAGGAACACCCTGATTTACGGGTAAAACCCAACTCATTTATTACTCTACAATAATATAAGAAAATGAAGGAATACTGAAGGAACACAATACATATTGTTTCTAATCAGTCTAGCCTTCTCAATTTATAGACCAAAATTCGTATGTAGTTAACACTCTTAACTACAAATGGGATAAACCAACTCATTTGGCTTAGAATTGCCAGAAACTGCTTCCCACAACCATTCACAGCAACCGTCCATACTTTCCACCTGTATGGACCACGAAAATTGCCTAGCACATGGGTCA